AAAGAGAGAGTGTGTCCGGGGCTCTTGCCAGGACCGCGGTTCGGTCAAGAAAATTGTGCCTTTCGGGTAAAATCAGAAGCAGATTTTTATGGTCACCAAAATGTCAACGCAAACCTAGCAACCTAGTTTGCACAGAGACTCTATCAGCTATGAAAGAGTTCAACGCAAGTTGACTCTCAAAAGTACACATACACCGCCATTCTTTTTTTATTTATTTTTCACAAGGACTGTTGACAGTTCAAGTGCGTGAAAAATTACTAAATTTACGGCCTTGGAAAACATGGATATATTCAACGCCGAATAGTGTTACAAAATATATATTTATATAATCCTTGTCATTTTGTCAGATGTAGCAACACATTTTCCATTAGCTTATCCATACCGTTCTAGTTTTTAGAGCAGGTTTTTTTTTACAGTTTCATGAGGCAAAATAGTTCATCGAAAGATTTCCCATACCGTTCTAGTTTTTAGAGCAGGTTTTTTTTTTTACAGTTTCATAAGGCAAAATAGTTCATAGAAAGATTTCCTCATGCACACACGCGCACACGCACACACACACACACACACACACACGCACACACACACAGGTCCTTCACCTTTGACCCATGGTAATAGCTGTTAGTGGCCTTGTGCACTCACTAGGCAGCTCCAGATGTTCTTGAAATTCCCTCAGGAGTCAGAGGGAAAAATTTACTGACAAATGCAGACACGCACATTCCAAACAGCTCAGGATTAATGCGCCACATTGATATTTATGCTCTCACTACACGAGACATACCTCCTGATTGAACATTGGTACAAACACAGGTAGTGTTGTGTTCGGGGTTTGACAGCTCATTTTTCTGCTTTAAACCTTATCCAAATAAGTCGGGTTTGGATGAACGCGTTCTTGTCCGAGCGCGTGCGTGCCGATTTGGTGTTGTCTCGCTGAACACGTAGTTGGAAAGAGCATTACAATCCTCGCCAAAAAAAAGTTTTGACTACTTTTATGCATTTTAATGCTTAGGTGCGTCTCGTCTCTGAGTGTGGACGTGGTCCAAACACGTTATTACTTGCAAAATGTCCCAACCTGCTTTTTTCCATCTGATCGGCTTCTCAGCTATCGAAATGTCACTTTGAGCAGTCATCAAAGCAAAGATGATGATAGATGACTACACTTCTGCCGCGTATCTGTGCTCAGCGCCAAAAATGGGTTCAATACATTTTTTTACGCAACTTTTTTTGTCCGTGCATTTACCGGACGCTTTGCGATGCTCCACAATAAACACACGTTGAGCAAAATCCGTGCACATCAGTCTGCAACAGACAAAGCACGTGTTGCGTCCGTGTACTTGCTTTATTTTCGGATGTGACGGCGACGCGTGATGACGCTGATCATTTTCAAGCCGTCAAGATTCTCTCATCTCACTGTCAACACGACGGATGTGTTTGGCATGTCCTTGTGACATATTCTGACCTCTTGTGTGTCTGTGTGTCCACAGGGCTTTATTTGTTTACGAAGGCCTCACCAACAAGCTCAAACTAGCTGACTCAGGGGGTAAGTTTCACAGTCGTATCTAAATAAGTCAGAAATACACATTTCAAATTCCTAAGCAGCTTTGGTTTTGGAAGAGTTCTTGTGCCCGCATGTGTTACAAATGTCCGGCTATTTATTTATTTTTTTTGTGAAAGTGGGCGGTGTTGCAGAGTTGGCCAGCAAGTTCCATGCATCCAAGCCACAATATGGACTGTGCAGAGTGGGAAGTGCAGACACAGGAGGCCCCCGCATTGCTATGATCGCCTGGGTAAAAAACAAAAATTACATAATACACACACAAAACTGGGATGTGGTGTTTTTCCTCATCGGTATATGGATTCCAATTTTCACAACACACATGTATAGTCCAGAAAAAAATTAATTCTGATAATGGAGCATCTGGAGGTATTCATTTAACAACAAATTAATTTAATTGTGGTGTGCAATTATCCAGCATCATACTTACGATCTAATATTTCGGCGACCTTATTTGGCTACTTTGCACAAGACAGCAAATCCCTCATATGCAGTGATGCCTTGACTTAAGAGTTCAATTTGTTCTGTGACCACGCTTGCAACTCAAAATATTGCATCTCAAGTCATCTTTCCCCATTGAAATGAATAGAAATGCCATTAATCCGTTCAAGCCTTTGTGCTGATGAGGAGCTTCACAAATAAGTGCGACAGTCATTCTGTATTACTCGTTTTTCGCTGAGGAAAAGGAATATATGCTGCTGAGTATAGTTGTTTACATGTGTTTTTGTCCAATTTGGAATCCTTAAAGCATAACCGCACAGCCGCAAATATGCTATTTGTTGCACCATCTGTGGCATTTTGCAATGTGTGTTAGCCTTATGCTAGCAGATAGTCAAAGTGACATGGTTGCTTTAAATGTAGCTGTAATTGTCTTTGTTTTATGTTTAGTTTGACAGTAAACCTGTAATGGTTTGGAATGAACGTTAAGTGTTTGAATCCTGCGTTTGTCTACAGGTTGGTGAACATGTGGAAGAATACCGCCGGACGGAATGTGCCAGACACATTCCAGCCATCAAACACTTCTTCAAGGTTCAGTAGAGTGAATTGCTCTTAATTTATAAATATTTTTGACGGTGAGCATCAAACCAATTTAGTAGGTTTGTGTCTTACTTTGTGTTTTAGAAGCTTTGCAAATGCACCAAACTGTGCTCATTTCCCCAAAATTCCCTGCAAGGAGAGACATTTTTTTAGGCTTTGTTCTTCTATATTTACACACTCAAGTCGACTGGGTATTGTTTAGTAAGTTTCCTGTGTCGACTGCACTTCCTGTCCGATTCCTTTGTTGGTGGTATGTGGCCACCGGTGATACCAGAAGAAACTTTAGGCTAGCCTTGGTGCGAAAAGATTTATTGTTTCTCCTCCTCACCGAGAAGGCCAGTGGTGACAGGGCGGCGAGGAGCAAGCGAGGAAGCGCCGTCATGAGGCGGCAGGCGCATCCGAAGGGACCAGCAGTCCTATAGTTGCAATAGCATTGCGTCTCCTCTGTATCCGTGCGTCTTGATCAGTGTTTGTTTAGTCATGAAGGCGGTTGACCCCGAAAGTTGAGGAGTTTCCACACAAAGGAATCACCAAGTCGACTCTGTGGAATGTTTGTTGTTGTTTTTGTCAAGTCTGGACCACTGTGAGCCTCCGTCTGACACCCCCCCAAACGTCTTTTGTGAGAAGAGTGCGTGTGGAAGACTGATACAAATGATTTACAAATGTGGACATATTTCACTGCACAGTTTGGGAATTATAACCTTTGACCTTTTCCCATACATTGTGTCACTGCCGTGACTATAATCTGAGGTGGTGGTTATTTTTCCCACAGGAAATAATGTAAATTATTCTAGGTTCAAATTCAGGCCATGATAAAAGCTTTATTAATTGTATAGGCAATGTGGTAAGGAACATTTTATGACTCGTGACTCGTTCCCTACAAGTGTAAAAAGAAGTTAGACATTGCCAAACTTTTGCCAGTGTGTAAAAATAAGTATCAGGTGATCCTACAATGTTCAGGCTGGGCCTTCTTTTCCAGTTTTTGTGTTGATGCTCACGAAAATGAGCTCTCATGGCCTATGATATGCTAACGTTTCCGCATTGCACGCCTGACTTTAATAAACTAAAATAATTTACCGTTTAGCTTTGCGTGACTGACTGACGAATGTACTGAATTAAACACTTTTCTAATGATAATTCAGCCATAACACTCCTTCCGACAGTTATGTATTCTGAATTTCAGTCAATTAACAATCCCACAAAATTCTCAGTACGAAAATGTACAAATCGTGTATCATGCACCAAATATTCTGGACAGCATCTACTGAAATATCATCCTTAGCGTCTATCTGCAGCCTGTTAATTTGCAGCCATATATTTTTACGATAAGGTTGTGAAGGAGTTTTAAAGTTTCATTCCATCGGAATTTTTTTTTTTTATTTTCCCCATCTTCCTTTCTTTCTTTGAAGAAAGAAAGAAAGCGTGTCTCAGCTGGTCAAAAAGGGGGGTTGTGTCAAGGCGAGTCCTGGGTGTGTTCCATACTTTGCTGCAGTGAAAGCTAACATGTGAATAGGGTGCAGATGTTTCCATTGTTGCACGTTTCAACTCAAATAACGCACACAAGGCCAGGCACAATGATTGCAGATGACAAGGTAGATACAAAAAGGCTAAAGAAACAGCAAATGAGTACATGGGACAAGTTGAATGTTTTCGTAACATTTGTCTATGACTTTCTTATCGCAACATGATTGCACTTTTGGCACGAGGCCACCAGGTTTACAAGGTGCGACAAGAGATTTTGTACTCAACAAAGGACATTGCAAGTACTGTATTGTAAATAAGGGGCGAGCATGAAGCCGGAAGTACTTTGACGAGTCAACTCGAGTGTCCCTTATTGCTTCTTTGGAGCTTCAATTGACGGACTCTTGTGTAGTTTTATTGCCAATTGTTAGTTTGTTGGTTTGTGACATGCAAAACTACTTGGCTGGTTTTCAAGTGGTGGCTCGCAGGTCAAGAAATACATTTGCCAATGAACATGAAAATGTTTCCCTTGTCAATCGTGCTCATCCTTATTAGTGAGCTATTCGAGAGTCGGGGTACTGTCTGGATTGGTTGTCAGCCAGTTGCAGAGCACCCCTAGTCACACCTAGGGGTGATATAGAGTCTTCATGTGATCTGACATGTTTCTGGAATGCGTGAGAAAGCTTCCCGCTGAACTAGTAGTGGAACGCCTGATCCTCAGAACTGTGAGACTACCCCACCTTGCTGCCCTAAATATTCATCCATCCATTTTCCAATCGGTTGATCCTCACGAGGGTCGCGGGCCTGCTGGCAGTTGGCAGGGTACGCTCTGAACTGGTTGCCAGCCAATCGCAGGGTCGACATAGACCAAGGTGTCAAACTCAAGGCCCGGGGGCCAGATCTGGCCCGCCACATCATTTTATGCGGCCCGCAAAGGCAAATCAAACACGTTAACTTCCATGATGCTTACTAAAATCTCTACCAAAATTTAAAATGCTCATATGGAATAAATGAGAGACATATTGTACACATTTTCTTGTTAGCAAACCCCTCATGACAGTAACTTAAACAAAAGTTGAATAAACCGCTATTATTGACTTTTTTTATATGGTTTCAGTCGTGACGGCCCTCCAAGGGAAACGGTAACTAAAATATGGCCCACGACAAAAATAAATTAGACACCCCTGACATCGATGAACAACAATCGTTGTAAACACTTTGCATAATGAGTGGTTTAGGATAATAAATATATATTTTGGGGATTAAAAGCGCTGCCTCATGTTTGATGAACGTTGTCTCTGTTTTGTGAGTACAATTCTATGCTGATATTTTTCCTTACTTGGTGTAAAAGGAGTGAGAACCACTGCTCGACGTGAATATTATTGGCAGGTTTGTGAACACCAGCGAACAGACACAATAGTTAAGTCCCGTATGAGGCATGTGATATTTTTTTTTTTCATCTCCCTCTACTGTCTGTAAACAGTCGAGGGACACTTTATTTTCCCTTTCCCTCCGTCCTTAGTTGCACAACACTTTGGCTCCAAGTTTGCATAACTTTAGATAGGTCCAAGTAAAAACCACCAAAGGCCTCTTTTGTGCTCTGGTGTGATGGGACTTTGGTGTGCGCGCATGAGCCGCGATCCTATGTAACATTATATGCGCATTTGTCACACCCTAATTGCTCGCCCTCTATTCTCACATGTAGGAGGCGCACGCCTTCATTAGTGCTAACAAAGCGGATGACGTGACAGAGGAGAAGATAAGAGCCGAGCTCAGCAAGGCTCAAGCTCATCCTCAGTGGGCCAAGAAGAGCTCCAGGTTCTCAGAAAGGGAGGACATAGTTGTGAGTAACTAGCAGTCCTCCTCATGACCACTAGATGGTGGCAGAGACTTACTTTGTAACTCGCTTGTATTGATGCTGTTTGCCAGAATTACTGGAATATTAGATTCTTTAAACACATTTGAAAATGATTTACAGGTCATGACGACCAATATTTCTTGATGATGTATCTAATTTCATGCGATGTAGGTTTTGCATATGGTCTAAAGTCTTCACTGTTACTCTTAAGGGTACAAACTATAGGAAGACCAATGCTGCAATGGAGATGCGACTCATCAACAGAGACTCTTTTTGGGCACGTGCAGAGGTATTTGAATAGCTCTTTTTCCTCCTACTTTCTCGACTTAGCCGCCGCGCATTGCTCGATGAATCGGCACATAAGCAGCCCATATAGTCTTCTCCTTCATTTTATCAGCGGGAAGAAGAACTGAGGAAGGAAGAGGAGAGGAGACGAGCTGTTGATGAGAGACGGCGGCTGGAACGAGAACGAGTTTTGAAGGAACGGAAAGAATCAGAAGAGAGAGATCGAAAAATGAATGAGAAACTACGGCTGATAGAGGAGCAAAGGTGAGAAGAAGGCCTGCCGGCCTCCTCGCATTGCGGCGCCGAGTGGACGATTTTTTTTCCTTTTGTCTGTGCGGCCGCTGTGTGACTGTGGACACTTCAAATGTTGAACCGTTTGTCATGTACGTTTACTGTCATGCAGACGAAAGCAGGCAGAGCAAGAGGAAGAACTGCGCAGAAAGGAGAAATTTAGATGGGTGAGTAACATGGGGTTTAAGTTTACTTTCTGGATTCTATTAATTAAAGATTTTAAAGGAAATATTGGAAACCACCAAAAGCACATTTTGTAATAACCGCTTGAATATCGGAATGCGCTGTAGGTGTGACCTTAAATACGGTAAAATGAGGACTTCTTGTACATAGTTTAAATCTGTGTCCGTGCGAACAGGAACAACAGCAGAGAGAGCATGAGGACGACATGAGGGCTCGTCTGAGAAGGAGTGAGTCCATCGAGAAGGCTGCAGTAAGTCAACAGCGATTCACTTCAGCGTCAACGGATGAAATGGTCAATTTCGGCAAGCAGTGACATTGGACGTATTTGTAGGAGGCAGCGGTGTTAGTGTCCCAGCGCTCTATGAACCCTCGGGAGTTCTTCAGGCAGCTGTCGTCATCGTCATCGCAAAGTCCAACAAGCCCGGGATCTTCACGTGCCGGTATGTACACGCCAATCACAGTATCCATTGAAAAGTCATCGCAGAGGAAAAAGTGCTCGGACGGGGAGCTCCAATTCGGTTTTTTTTGAGCCACTTTTGCGGGACACAGCGTCAGCAGCCGAAGAGCAGCACATGTTTAGGACAATCTATCGACATTGCTAATTTCTATAGCAAAAGTGAATATGCTTGTTTTGCATTTAACGCACATTCAAAAATTCTCTTTATGGGACCCGGGGGAAGATTCTGCGGATGAGAGCCCACGCTACACACACACACACACACACACACACACACACACACACACACACACACACACACACACATTTGTGAAACAAAAGTTTGTTTCCCACTCTTGGTGGAAATATGTCGTATGCGTCTATGGTGTGACTGCTCTCCGCTGCTGAGGTGCGGAGAGCCACTTAAAACGGAGTTCAGATGAGTGTGGCTCACCATTTTCGGATCGTAAGCTGCCACTTCACCATGTCAACCTTTCTGTTTACTTTAGGCAAGCCATTCCGACGATACCAGCGCAGCCTGACCGACACCGCTTTCATCTTCTCTAAAGCAGAAGCCAGCACGCCAACCTCCCCGCTCAGTTCTCCCTTCGTTTCCCCCTTCTCTCGGGCCCCTCCCTCGCCCACCCGCGCCACATCTCCTCCCACGTGCCCCGTTTTCCGTCCTCTCCCCTCTCCCACCAGGACCAAAGTCTCCCCCGTGTCACCGCCCACGTCCCCACTTCGGAATGCCCCTTCGACCTCAGCGCCAGTGCCTGTAGTGCCCCCTGCTAACCAGCAACCTGTTGCTGAGACCAAAGCTCCGTCACCCACAGTGCCCTCTGCGCCGCCAGCCTCCATTAATCTGGACGCCTCCTTATTCTTTGGCATGGAAACAAGCATTCCTACTGAGTCACTCCCCAGGGTTCCGCCATCCTCACCCCCGAATACGCCGGTCGAGCCAGAGCCTTCCACTTTTGACTTCGAAGGTCCACCTCCACAGCCTCCATCATCTCCTCTTCCTGAGATCCCGCAACTTAACACCGGTAAGGTGAATGATGATCACCACAAGTGGCGCTTTTTCGAGTCAACCACTTCCTGGGCTCATTACTTAGCCCAAAAGAATCATGTCATGTATTTTCATCTTTCAAAAATGAAAGACTGAAGTTACACGGATGCTTGTGCCAAAGTCAAATCCGCAACATTCCAAACAGTGAGCACTGCCAACAGACTGGATCAAAGCTCTGCTACACACAGCCATATTGCTACAGGCCAGGCACAATTAAAAAAAAAAAAAGAAAAAGGCATTTCAAGCTTCACTGTGACGCCATCTTCAACTTAAAAGGCGCACTCGACTTTTATATACCGTCCGTATGAATGTTCATTTTGTGCCACAATGTTTCTCCATCAACAGACCTCCACACCACCATGTTTGTGCGTACCGACACTGGCTACAAAGCGCAAGCCGTACTGCTGGAAGTAGACGAGGAGGAGGACGACGTAGAGGAGAAGGAGTTGCTAGAAGATGCGGCGGTGAATGAAACGGAGGTAGAAGGTGCGGAGGAGAAGAACGAGGCGCAAGAAGACGAAGATGAGAAAGCTGATTTTCAACAGCAGCCTTGTGAATCCACTGAGGAGCCAGCCCAGGCTGAGTCAGAGGAACAGCCGCAGGTGAAGGAAGGGCAGATGGTGCAGCAGGAGGACGAACGGGAATCGGAGCAAGATGGTGAGCGTGCAGCAGAAGAAAAAACTGAGGAGGTGTGTGACGATGAAGAGGAGGTCGATGACGATCAAGAGCACAATGAGCAATTTGAGGACATCCGGAGCCCAGACGAAACCGCCGATCTTTCGGGAAAAGACATAAAGTCTGAGCCGACAGGTACTTTTGCTTCACTTCGTCACAAACATTCTCAGCGTTCTCATGCCAAACAAGGAATTACTTAATAAAAAGATGAAGGTCAAATCATCATTTCAGATGAGGACCACGTTTGTCAAACCGTCAAGCTTGAGACGGTGGTCCTGCCAACTAACGGATTCGCGCATGGAGAAGAAGAGAATGGCATCGGTTTGTTTGAAGTCCACTCGAACACAACACATCATTTGCGCTACTTTAAATGTCAGCAGTGATTCCTTCGCTGTTGTTCTTCAGGGAGATCTTTGAGCCCGTCTGATGCCGAAATCAGCTCGCCAGAGCTGAGCGGGTGTTATGACCTGCACAACGCCGCAGAGAGCGATGGCATCGACGAAGAGAAGGAGACGTCAGAAAATGGGCAAAAGGTAATACACTGAAGATTATTGATAAATCCTCCCACACGTGACATTAAAAAATAAAATAAAATAAAAATTTCACAAGTCCACACAAAAACACATTCACAAATCCCAAACCAGAGGCTCTGAAGCCATCAGTCCTTCCATTTTCGACCTGTGTGTGGGACTTTTTCAGACATGTGAAACTGGTTGCAAAAGTTCATCATGATCGTTTGTGATCAGTTTCACATTAATCCTGTAGATGGCAGCAAATGCCCTTTTCAAACTGCTGCTTCTGTGTGAGAAATCATGGAGACAAAGATTAAGTACTAAACAGAAAGGAGGTGGTGGTGGGATGGGGGGGTTGAACCATCAATCATATTTTCTTCTATATGGCAAATACTGTAGTTTGCACCTATAGTATCATTGGTATGCATTTGCAAAGGACTTTTGTCAACAATAAAATCACTCTCATTTGCATTTCCCTTCAAAAAACAAAACATGTCTCTTATTATTCTCATACACTGTATGTTTCATATTTTCTTTGTACACTTCTGATCTTCTGTTGGATGGTGTTTTGAATTGGTTTCTATCGTTACACTTGGTTTTCATATGGAGCTCTATTTCTTTTTTTATTTATTTTCTTTATTAGGCTGAACAGCCCTCATATTCCCTGCCCTGCTCCAACCATCAAATCAACACCGAGCCTCCCCTTCATTTTTCTCGCTGTGTCACCTCACCTGTGCAATGCTTCTCAAACTTTTTACACCTCAGTCCCACCTCAAAAAATACTTGACTCTCCATCACACCCCACATTAAAACACAGTAGGCTAGTACACCAAGTGTACCACAACAAGTGTTCGAAAACATGGCAGATGTTACATTTAATGTTATTCTCAGCCATTGAAAGATCCCGCACAGTTTCTACATGAAAACTGGGCTTCGAAATAGGAAAAAAAATGCACTTGATCACCATTCAATCTAAATATATTATACATCAAGATGCACCCACAAAAAAAAAAAAATGAACATAAACAGTTTCAAGTTAAATACAACTGAACTGTAGATAAAAAAATGCACTGTACTGGATGAAAAAAATATCTGCCACTGTAGCCACGTATAGCAATGGGTAGGAGGCTGGGACAGATTAATGGCATTCCTATTCATTTTAATGGGGAAAGATGATTTACTGTAAGATACAGGCATTGTGAGTTCTTAGCATGGTCACGTAATGAATTAAATTTGTTTTTCAAGGCACCAATATAAAAATAAAATCATTCACTTATGAATTTGATTTAAAGGGTTATTTATTGATAGATTTATATTTCTAATTGCAATGTGATTTTTCTTTCCCTCTCCACTCAAGTTATTAGCTGAGCAACTTCTATGCGTCAGAGCGCTGTACGACTACCAAGCAGGTAAAATGCCACTTAGGGGATAATCTCTCTTGAGCACATAAAGTGCCTCCACTTACCGTAATGACTGTGTGATTAGCGGGTTCTCACAGCATATTATCTTGCGGTTCCCATAGAGGACGCATCTGAGATCTCCTTTGAACCTGGTGACATCATCCGGGACGTGGAAACGGTGGATAAAGCTTGGTGGAGGGGGTGGAGCAAAGATGGACGCCAAGGCTTGTTCCCTGCCAATTACGTGGAGACCATATAGCACATCCGCGCACACACACACACACACACACACACACACACACACACACACACACACACACACGCACACACACTAGCACTCTCAGGGACGCCATCATCCCTCACAATTTAACCTTTGTGTTCCCATCCAGTCTCTGTATTTTCCATAAAGTGTGAAGAGAAATACGATTGTATGTATCGTCATGTTCCTTGATTTCAAAAAATAAAATACAATAAAAAAAAAAGGAAAAAAAATCTACAATATTTTCACACTTAAGTGATAACAAAGCCTCACATTCTCAAACAAAAGAGTCAGGACCTTTTTATTTGGGACCAAAACATTGTACTTCCTCAGGAGTAACTGAAGGAATGTTGGTGGGCGGGATCACATCACATCCTAATGACAATTGATCACAAACTTGCTTTTTCTTTTAAGAAACACAAAACAGATTTTGTATTGTGTGTGTGCATGTGTGTATAAGTTTTCTTGTGGAGTCAAACATATAAGAAACATTCATTCCTCATTACAAAAACTTACTTCACTGCTCATAACTACACAGTATAATCAAAATATACATGTAGACCTCAACTTATAATCATCTCCTCAACTTTCCTGAGATATTTTACAGCACTATATTTGTTACTGACAGTCTTTTATATCTTGATTAACTGCTGCGAAACACAGCGGCAGAGTTGAAAGGCTCTGCATCAATCTTGGAGGCTATGCTGTGTTTTGTTGTCATGGTGATGTCTATACTTACATCGTTTGATTAAGTTGTCTTCTGTTGCCCCCCGCTGGATTTTAATTAAGTCATATAACACCGAAAAACATCTTCAGACTGGAATCGGCTTAAATACAATCATACCCTGTATATAAAAATGTACAGCGACAACAAACATTTCCTTTTCGGGTTGTATATTGAATGTTGTATGGTTATTTTGTTTGTATTTACTCCAGACTTAACAAAGATATGCAAACTGTTTTATTAAAATGTTTCTCTCCCATCCTTTAATGACTGTTTATCAAAACGAATGTGTAAATTTGTGGAACTGCTCTGAAACATTTCCATACAGGAGTAGATAATGCAAGTCGGGAGTGAATAACAAGCTGCGTATGAAGTCAATTTGTGATCACAGACAAATGAGAACATAAAAAAAGGAAATGAAAAGCAAAATCTTTAATTACAGTCGTAATTTTATGACACTCGGACTCATTCCAGAATCATCTGATTTTCACCTATTCTTTGTACGACAATTGTGACAAGAGTACAAATACTTTCTTCCTGTAGATTTTTTTTACATGTAACTGTAATTTACTTGGGCATTTATTTTTCTGGTGATTTTTAAATTTTTTTTTACAATTTTTATTACTCACCAGATACGACAACAAATACTTGTGCACTATTGTTGTTGTCAACTACAAGATTATTTTGATACATTTTTACCTAATTACAACTCTGAATCAATACTTTTATTTTCATCTGTTTTAAGTATCTGTACTTTTGCCATTTCTGCTTTCGTCTGTTTTTTTTTTTAGGCCAGCAGACTCAATTTGCCTTTCAGAGGACTGTTAAGATTTCCAGGTGTAGTTTCTTATCACTGCCTATAGGTGGAGACAATGGCTTTTCCAATATGCCCGATGTCACCCATTGAGCCTAAGTGAACTGAATTGAAAACATTTCCTCAGAGCAAAACAAGCAAAATATTTTGACAAGCAATAAAAGATTATTTTTTTGTTAGGCACACTTTAGAAGTGGTACATCCAAACGATCTCAAAGCTAAAAATTGCTAATGCCGCTACACCTTAAATAGGACCCCCCCCCCCCCACTCTTCCACACACACACTTGGATAATAATGATTGATTGAATGTGACGTTAATATTTCTTAAGCGCACAATTTTCACATTTACGGGACGAAGAGAGGTGGGTCGGCTTAGGTTACGCTCCTGTGCTGCCAGTTCAATAAGAGTGTTAACAGATGCGCCGGTGTTTGAAGAGAAAGTCAGTGTTTGTTTGACATGGGTCTCATCCTGCCTGAAATGATACTTGTTGACAGACTGAATACATCTCTTGAGCAGACTACTCTGTCACGCTTATTCTGCAAGGCTAATCATCAGTGATGAGTGTGGAAAGGTGATGCGCTTTATATTAAATACTAATTGGGTTGCGAGAAAATCGCAGGGAAACAAAAATCTGAGATGAATAAGATGGAGTGATTTGGAAAAATGTTAATTTTTTTTCAACATGTTATTTTTAACAAGGCTTCCCAAAACACAGATATGATTTCATATGCTCTGTATTGGTGATCCGCAGACAACTAGCTTCTGACTTTGTATGAGCAGTTTGGGGAGGGCCCTTTTTCTGTTCCAATACATCAACCACAACGGAGATTCCGAGGCAGGCCTCTCTGTCAGGGACCAAAATGTGTGACTCCACAAATGCTCTTTTGGTTTAATGGACAGAAAGTTTTGTTTATTTATTTAGAAATTTAAAAAAAAAAAAAAAAAAACTTCAAAAATCCCGATTAACATCAAACAGGTTTTCCACAAAGAATGGAGCAGATCTGGGGGAAAAAAATCCCAGAAAAAAATGGTGGGGAAGAAAAAAAACTGCAAAAAAGTATATATAGTTTTATATTGTTGATATAGTTTACACTGGATCGTTTATATGTGCATTGAGAAATGCATAATGAAAAATAAATATATGACAAAAATGTATTTTGAACATCTGCACGTATTTTGGCCATATTTAAAATGGTATTTTTGTCATACATCTGGTTAGGAAGTGCGTGGTCCTATGTGGCACTTCAGGAGCACTGATGAAAAATTGTGCGCTCCATCCAACATTTCAATTTTTCATCCCTATTCTTGAAAATTGGCTTATATTTGCAATGAACAAATGTTCTGACAGTTTTATTTCCGGAAGTAGTGCTTTTTGAATGTGTGATCTCACAAAAAAACAACCCCCCACCAAAAAACAAAACAAAACAAAACAAACAAACAAAAAACGTTCTACAATTCCAGCTCACATTGGCCAAGTAAATTACTTGGGATTGGAAAAGTCAAAACAGGGAAATGTGCAGTTGGGTTGGTTGATGGTTCACCCATGATCCCTAGATGGCAGTAATGAGCATTTCAATAAGCAATACTTTCAGCCTGTCAAATATCCGTTGTTTCAACGGCCATAACACCGCAACACAGATTTGCATTGTCATCGGATTAAGTGAATAAATTTGATGGTTGTTTGAAAAACATAATGTGTAATTCTCTTTGTTTTATGTTTAGTTTGACAGTGCTTGCTGTGAAGTGAGTTGAGCTGAGTTTGCTGCCAGCATCTTGCTTGCATTCATATCTCAAATTTGTGTACGCCACAAAAAATAATTGGCTGACTGCTCATATTTTGAAAAATGTGCATTTTGGGTCACAAATATGTAAACCGATGGATGCAGTATATGCATTTCCAACTCAATTTCGGGAGTGAGAACCCCACGTTTATTTGTCCTAGTCTATGTTCCTTTCAAGACAATAGAGTTGGGGGGGGGGGGGGG